AATGGATGTAGTCATGTAGATATCCTGCGATCACACCGCATCGTCTCTGATTACAGAAACCAAGGTTGACTCTTTCACTACGAATATTGCTTCTCTATGTTGCTACTACTGTTCTATTTTTTGCCGTTGGGAGCAGTGGTTGCAAAAGTACACTCTACTTTCCGCGCTTGCGTACATCCACTGAGTAGACTACTGTTCCGGTCCTCAAGTCACTCATAGAACTTGAATGATTTCGATGATGATTTCATGGTTTTAACATATTGAGATATATACACAAATGTAAGGCGTAAGTCTGATATTTCAGACAGCATGATATACATCGAACATAAATAATACTTGAGCATTCTCTTGAGCACTGACGAAAAATCAAGGCATAGAGTCTGAAAAGGTAGACTATCATCTCATTCATCACTTCCAAACAAGTCCGGTGAATCCCCTAGTCCAGATTCGGTCTGTTTTTATGGATTTGTTATTTTTCAATATTTGACTAGTTTGTATTGATCCAATAACATTTTTTGTATTCAACATAAACATAATACAAATATACAAACATTTATATCCATGGAACATCAGTAAATCAAAGAAGAAATCAAATGGATCTATAGTATACAAAATAGAAAACATCAGCAATCGTCACAATTCCCCCTCCCTAGAACAAAAAAGGAGTTCTGTCAGCGTTCTAATTATCTGCTAAATTAACTGCAAAACTGTTCCGGTCTTCAAGTCATTCATAGAACTTGAATGATTTCGATGATGATTTCATGGTTTTTAACATATTGAGATATATACACAAATGTAAGGCGTAAGAAGTCTGATATTTCAGACAGCATGATATACATCGAACATAAATAATACTTGAGCATTCTCTTGAGCACTGACGAAAAATCAAGGCATAGAGTCTGAAAAGGTAGACTATCATCTCATTCATCACTTCCAAACAAGTCCGGGGAATCCCCTAGTCCAGATTCGGTCCGTTTTTATGGATTTGTTATTTGTCAATATTTGACTAGTTTGTATTGATCCAATAACATGTTTGCATTCAACATAAACATGATACAAATATACAAACATTTATATCCATGGAACATCAGTAAATCAAAGAAGAAATCAAATGGATCTATGGGATACAAAATAGAAAACATCAGCGATCGTCACAATTCCCCCTCCCTAGAACAAAAAAAAAGGATTTCCGTCAGCGTTCTAATCATCTGCTAAACTGATGCTTAAATAGCATTATTTTCTGAAATTCCATTTTATTATTTTCTGAAATAAACATTTATTATTCTTCAATCATATATGTCCTCCCTTTCACGAGTGGACACACAGCGCGCGCGGTGTCTCCGATCATCAGCGACCGCCCCCCCCCCCCCCCAAAAAAAGGAGGAACTGTCTATGAGAGGCAAGGTCCGTATCCGGTTCAGCGTTGAGGGTGTGTTCTAGGCTGAATGGGCGCTCGACACAAAAAAACAGTCCAGGCTGAGGACTAAGATTCCCCACAAGAAGCTACCTTGCTTGCTGAGCTATAAAAATGGCTTAGGTGAGTTCCAACTTTTCATTCCAATTGTGGAACTTTGAGAAGAAAGTAATATGGCAGAGAGAAACGAATTATCAGGCGAATCTGGTCGCGTTACGAATGTCAACAAAAATTATGCGAGTCTTTCGGTATCAGGTCGGGTCGGGAATGCTCGCCTCGATACGTCTTCCACTCACCGTATCGTGGGTTCGTACATTGCCGATCTCCGTTCCATTTTGAAAAAGGGTGATCGGCTTAAGGTTCGCGTTGTTCAAATGGACGAGAAGATCCTAGATAAGATTCCTCAAAAATTCCGTGAGAAGGTGAGGAAATGTTGTCAATGGGAAGTGACATTTTTCAGGAGAGATATCGAACCAGCGCCGCAAGTAAGTCCGTTCAACGTTCCCGAGAGGTATTTTTCAGACACCGACATCTTCAGTGGTGTGCCACATGAGGCAGTCGGCCGGATCATCTCGGCACTACTGCAGATCACACACAGGCTCAATAACATAAGCCTACAAAAGCTGCTTCCTCTCGTAAAATCACATTTCAAAGTCAAGAAAATCCCAAAGATCGGCTGTTATTTAGCGACAGAAGAAGATCTGGAAAGATTCATCGTCAATTCCCCTTAATATTTCAGGATTTCATCAAGTGTCGTGAAGCGCTGTTGCGGGTTCAGCGATGACGTTTTCAATTCAGCTATTACCCAGAAAGCCCTTGGGATACAACCTCCTAGCACTACGGGGACAAGAAGACAGACTGCTGCTGCATCTGCTGCTGGTGGTCCTGTTGATTTCCAAGGTAACTGATAATTTTTGTTCACTGATTTGACAATAGGAATATATATCTTTATACAAAGCCCGGTGCTTTAATTCTATATCTTTAATAATTTTATAAGACGTAATAACATGCTGATTTATTTATCATATATATTGCTCTTAGTCCCTTTAGATAAAGGGCACGTTTAATGATGAGAGGAAAGGGGAATCCTAATCGAAAGAAAAAAGACACTTATTAGAAAAGAAAAAGAGTACGTGTCAAAGTACAAAGGGTTATTATCAGAGGCGAAAATGGGGCGCTCCTTTTAATATTACACGTGAAAAGATGTACTCACCAGAGATGAAATAAAGGCACTTATGAGAATGACAAATCAGATTTGTGGACGGAAAAGGGGAACCCATCAGATTTTGATAGAGGAATTTATAAGAGGTGAACAGAGGAATAGAGGAAAAGGGGATAGGTTCCTTATTAGAGAGAAAAAAGGACACTCATCGTACCTGAAAAAGGGGCACTGACCAGATATGAAAAGGGGCACGAATGAGAATAAAAAAGGGGCACTTATAATAAAGGAAAATGTTCGGCATTGTTGAAACAAAAGGGTAACCTTGACCAGATTTTAATAGGGGCATTTATTGGAGGTGAAATGGGGCTTTTATAAGAAGGGGGAAGTGGATCTTAGTAAAAGGTAAACGAGACACATGTTAAAGGCACACTGTCCTACTTGTAGCTACTTGCTCCCTCTATATAGAAAACTTCCCAAATCGGTGCCTGTTGGTCCCCCATGATCCTCTTTTTCTTATGTTAAATGAGAGCTGAGTTAATGAGATAGCCACCTGTCACAGTGACCTCGATGGCTCGCTGTGTGGTCTAATCCCTTCTAGCTGCAGTAGTAACGCCTACCTTTAAAATAAACGGGGCATTTATCAGATATGAAAAGGGGTTTTCATTAGTAGAGGAAGGGACTCTTATAAGAAGGATAAAGAGCATTTATTACAAATGAAAAGGGGCACTTGTCAAAATAAAAGTGCACTCATCAGAGGTAAAAAAGAGCCCTTATTAGGAGGGGCAGGGGCACTTGTCAAAGTAAAACGAGCATCTCCCAGATTTGAATAGGGGCAATTATCGGAGGTACAGGGGGCACTTATCTGAAGTGAAAAGGAGTGACTTCTCGCACCTGAAAAGGGCTATTTACCAGAGATAAAATGGGGCTCTTAGGAGAATAAAAAGGGACACTTTTCATAAGTAAAAAGGGGGCATTTGTGAGAAGGGAAAGGAGCTCTTTTTTATAAAATGGGAGCAGTCCTAAAAAGAAAAGAGGCACATGTAAAAAAGGTGCGCTAATCATGTGAGTTAAAAAGGGGTAGTTATTGAAAGGGGAAGGGGCACTTCTTACGGAGGAAGAAAGGCACTTGTTAAAGTAAAAGGTGTACCTCTCAGATTTTAATAGGGCAATTTTATTTTAAACATTAGTTCAACAACATTTATTTTTCGATCAAGCTCCTCTAGATTCTTGATTATGCAGTATTTTTTAGGTTCATCATAATGATGACGAATATTAATGACGTTGCACGCTGTTTGATGTTATGTTATGTGTGAGATGAATTAGTGAATATGTCGTTGTGCAGGTGATAAGACTTTTCTCAATGATGCTGTTAATTGTTCTTTTACAAAGTAAATCACATTCGTAATTTAACGGTCGTCACACTTAAGATTTATTAGCTTTTCAAAACCCCGCTCGGCACATTATACATTGAAAGAAAAGAAAAATCGCCGAGTGCGTACAATTCGAAAATGAGTATATTTTATTAACGAATACCAGACTTCTTAACGATGCATTTACTACATTTGTTAGGGAATTTGTCGATTGCTTTTTTCCAGCCAATTTAAATTTAACTTCAAGCGTAATTTGTTATAATTTTCGTTTATTTCTCAAAACAGAACGTAAATGAATAATTTCAATGAATCATTTCTCGACTGACTGAGTTTCCAACAAAAAAAGAAGATTTCTTAAAAATGTTTTCACTTATTCAAACATATATATAGAATGTATTGTTTTGTCTTTCTTTCTTTGAAGAATATAATCTCGGGGTGGTCTAGGTGATACACGTCGCTGTTCTTACGAAGGCTGGATGATGAGGCTATACCTGGATGGCGCTTTGGTTGGTGCTGTGATTGGATAGCGGGTCGGAGTTTGCTTTATTTTGAGCATGGCGCGAGAAAAATAGTCTTTCTCATGGCGTCAAAATAACATATGCGACGCATGAGTGGTACGGAAAAGAAAGACGCAGGCGGCGGGGATGGGAGGGGGGGGGGGGAGCAAGTAATACTATTCTCTGTCAATCACCCCGCCCCAAAACCCAAGATAAAACGTCATCTTATTTCCAGGTTCCTTTGGAGGTCCCATGCTGCCAGTGGCACAATTAGAAGGTCCAATTAAGGACTCATTTTCTTTAGGGAGCGAGAGAGCGAGAGAGAGAGAGAGAGAGAGATATTATCTCATATAAATGTATGCTTTGAAATAAAACCAAGTATCATTTTTCGGAATTACAAACATTCGGAAAAACAAACCCTATTTCATGAATGGAAATATGTGGATATAATTGGAATAATGAACCCATTTAATTTTCGGAAATACAATCCTCCAGATAACCGAATCTTCTGAACACCGCAACAACTATGAACCCTATAACATTTTTGGCATTATGCCCCCCCCCCCCCCCCCCGCATGAAAAAAATGGTGTTTCGGAATGACCACCAACGAGTGAATGAATTTATTACCATTTCTGAAAGAACATAATTACAGGGTATAACAAATAAAACTTCATTATGGTAATGGGAGACCGCTGAATTGCCGAATTGGCTTGGTTCTCTTGTCCTTCGTTCTCGTAGTCGATGCCATCATTACGATCATGACTTCTGCCTGGTTTCTTGATAGGAATCAGGATTTCATTACGATGAGGCTGAGGCCGCCGTGATGAGTCATACGCTGTAACAAACATACAATAAATAAATACATTTGTTATAAGTTTCTTAACCTAGGGAAACATCATCAGCTTCACGCGCTGTTCCCCCTCAGGGCCCTTCAATTTGTCTATTATTACCCCGGCGATTGCCAGGTAACCATGCATTTACACCGGTTTGGAGAGTTGAAAACGTAGATCTATGTCGGTCAAATGACGTTAGTGCCGGCATACTGAGTTTAGAACCCTCAACCCTTGGATTGAGATTCAAGTGAAAAAATAATTGTACCACGACACCGTTACAATTTAATGATGATGATGATGAAGATGAAGACAATAATAGTAATAATAATGATAAAACTAGAATTTAATTCGTCACGAAGACGAATAAGGTGGTCTGTCTAAGTCTTATGATAGATTTGAGAATGGGACAAGTTATATAGACATGTAAACAATGATGATCATGATGAACATGGTGATGATCATGATAGTAAAGGTGATGATGATGATAATGATAATGTTATATGACGATAAAAACGATAATGTTAATGATGATGATGAGCATAAGCATAATCCTGAAAACTGATTTTAAAAAATGAGGAAATATTAGATAGCAAATAGTCTCAGCTACAACATACTAAAATTTGTGAGAAAACTGTTGAATAACAACCGAGATACTGGTCAAAACACCTTGTCATGCAGATTCATGTTTTGAAAAAAGTGACCTCCCATAGACATAACACGCAAATATGACAAATTATGCATTGTCACCTTTAATCGAATATTTAACTATGATGACGTCATCTAAATGAAAAATAAATGACATATTACTGATAGAGAATTATCTCAGCTACAACATATCAAAATCTGGGAGAAGATCGATCACCGATTAGTGAGATAATCTCAATTAAACAAAGACAAAAATGACGTCATCAAAAAAATACATTTTGTTGAGTTTAAATGCCAATATGATGACTTTATTTCACTTTGTACGAGTCAGGGTGGTATGAAATCATATCTCCAACTCATGCTTTTTCTAACCATGATATAAAAAATGGGGGTCAACGGACTATCTGAAGAGCTATTTTGATTTTTAAATTGGCATGTTTTTGATCAAATTTGCATTATATTTCCCATAGCAGCACGCGCGGATTGTGAACTTTGACGCGCGCTCACGGCCTTATGAAAGGTCAAGAGTGACTGAAATTAATGTAAATTGTCATTTACGGTAAGAGGAATCTAAATCATGTAAACAATTTGAATTTGACCTTTTCCGCGCGTTATGAGCGCGCGCAACGCGCCCGGTGACACGTACGGACGGAAAATTTTGAAATGCTTAAAATGACCTGATTCATACTCTCGTTTAATAGTTAAGTGATTTTGAGCATTTTAAAATTTTGACGCGCGCGTACGTGAGCGTCATGACCTTTATGTGACCTTTGATGATATGACTTGTTGACCCTTGACCTGAAGTATATGTGATATGAATATGAATGACCTTTGCTTAGGCATCATGAAGATATGATGGATAACGTGATTTCACAAAATGGCGCCTGGATGACGTCACGATGACCTGATGACCTTGAAAAGGTTACTGTCACGTCTCATGACAATGACCTATGACTGTGTCAAAATTGAAAGAAATTAACACAACCGATCTTGAGTTAACCGATGAACAAAAAACGGGGAGAAATAAAAATAAATAATAATAAATAAACTAGATTTGTAATACTTGTTTGGAACAAGTATAGGTGGGCTGATCCAACAAAAAATTGAGACAAAATAAAGGGTACATTTGAAATAGCTTTTTGTCTCAGCTACAACATATTCGGAGTTCAGCGTAAATGAAGCTAAAACGACGTAGATATTGCTCGCGAAAGACGGGAATGTAGAATCAAGTTTTGAAAAAAAGTCATGTCCCATAGAGAATACACGCTAAATGTGAAAAATTGACATGCCTCCTTTAATCGCAAAAATACGCCATGATGCCTTTGTCAAAATAAAGAATAATTAGAACTGCATCTGTAGAAAATTGTCTCAGCTAGAACGTATCAAAATTTGGAAGAAAATCGATCAATATTTACAGAGATACAATCAATTTTCTATAAATATGCTGACGTCATAATATGCAAATTGGAATTTTGAGTTCGGAGGCCATTATGATGACGTCATGAGTTAATTGAGGATCAAATGAGACATGAACAAATATCTCCGAATCATACTCTATTAAAATATGAAAAAAATTGGCGTCACCTTGCATTCTAAAGAGCTACAATGTATTTTGTATAGGCATGTTTTTGCCCATATATGCTATGTATTACAAGAGCTCGCGCGCACGGAAATTTTGTTTAACGGTCGATCATTCCGTTTTTAATAGTCATAAAGAAACAACCATGGCATCTATTTGTTTGTAAAAATATGTAGAATATTATGAAGAAAAAAAAATGGCGATTCTATGTTGTGTAATAGTTTTACGCGCGAAAACGCGCGCGCATGTGCGTGTGCGCGATTTTTTATAAAATGCTTAAAATGGCCTCAAACGTATGCAAAATGATTTTGAGACGATTTTGAGCATTTTAAAATTTTGCGCGCGCATTGACGCGCGGACGTACGCGCACGCGCGCGTTCTTTGACCTGAAATTGACCGGACGGATATTGACCTTGATCATGATAAATATGAATGAGAAATAACTTTTGGTTATGAAGATATGATCATAAGTTGATTTTCGTAAAATTTTACAAAATGGCGCCTAGATGACGTCATCAGTAATGTTTAATGTTGAAAACGTTATTGTGCTTTGTACATATGCCTATACATATGTGTGCTAAATTTCAAGGCTTTTGATTGAGCCATTTTCAAGTTATCCTGCCAACAAAAAAGTGGTTAGAAATAAGAAAAATAAATAATAAATAAATAAATAAATAAAGGCAATTCTAACGAAATTATAAGGTGGTCTGTACGTTATACAGCCCACCTGATAACTAGAAATTTAATTCGTCATTGGGACGAATTAGGTGGTCTGTCTTCAAGTCTTATGAGAGATTATAATATTTACTATATTGAGAAAGGGAGAAGTTATATAGACATGTAAACAATGATGATCATCATGATGATCATGATGATGATGATCTTGATAGTAATGGGGATGACGATGATGATGATCATGATGATCATGATGATGTTGATGATTATCATCAACAGACCACGATGACATCAGACTGAACAAAATTAGAGAACATTTAGATAGCGTATAGTCTCAGCTACAACATACTCAAAAATCAACACAAATCAAGCAGAAATAACAGCGATATTGCTCGCAAAAGACAAGAATGTAGAATCCAGATTTGAGAAAAAGTCATCTCCCATAAGGATTACACGCCAAAAGTAATGGATCTAGTGATAATAGGGTAATAATAAAGTAAATATGGTTGTTTATTACATTATTTGCAATTGTACGTGTTTTAATATTCAAAGGAGATGGTAGAGTGAAAGGTCAAAAAGAAAAAAAGTGAAGAAAAAAAATTGTTGGAGACGCCCGGACTCGAACCAGGGACCTCGAGGTCGGAAGTCAAGTGCGTTACCGATATACCAAAACATTTCCCATAGAGATTACACGTAAACGGAAAATGGAATTATCAAATCCCACTTTGTATGTGAGATATGAGCATGATCCCGGCATCTGATCGAGAAATAAAGGGCACACTTGTGATAGCTTATTGTCTCATCTACAACACACTCAAAGCTCAGCGTAAACAAAGATAAAACGACGGAGATATGGCTCGCGAAAGACGAGAATGTAGAATCCAGTTTTGAGAAAAAGTCATGTCCCTCAGAGAATACACGCAAAATGTGAAAAATTGACATGCCTCCTTTAATCGCAAAAATACGCCTTGATACCATTGTCAAAATGAAATATCGTGATGACTGCATTTGTAGAGAATATTCTCAGGTAGAACATATCAAAATTTGAAAGAAAATTGATCAATATTTACAGAGATACAATACATTTTCCAAAAATCTGCTGACGTCATAATATGCAAATTGAAATTTTGAGTTCGGAGGCCATGATGATGACGTCATGAGTTAATTGAGGGTCAAATGACACATGAAATCATATCTCCAATTCATGCTTTTTCTAACCATGATATAAAAGTTGGGGTCAATTGACTATCTGAAGAGCTATTACGATTTTTAAAATGGCATGTTTTTGATCAAATTTGCATTATATTGCCCATAGCAGCACGCGCGGATTTTGAACTTTGACGCGCGATCACGGCCTTATGAAAGGTCAAGAGTGACTGAAATTAATGTAAATTGTCATTTACGGTAAGAGGAATCTAAATCATGTAAACAATTTGAATTTGACCTTTTCCGCGCGTTATGAGCGCGCGCAACGCGCGCGGTGACACTTACGGACGGAAAATTTTGAAATGCTTAAAATGACCTGATTCGTACTCTCCTTTAATATTTAAGTGATTTTGAGCATTTTAAAATTTTGACGCGCGCGTACGTGCGCGTCATGACCTTTATGTGACCTTTGATGACATTACTTGTTGACCCTTGACCTGAAGTATATGTGATATGAATATGAATGACCTTTGCTTATGCATCATGAAGATATGATGGATAACGTGATTTCACAAAATGGCGCCTGGATGACGTCACGATGACCTGATGACCTTGAAAAGGTTACTGTCACGTCTCATGACAATGACCTATGACTGTGTCAAAATTAAAAGAAATTGACACAACCGATCTTGAGTTAACCGATGAACAAAAAACGGGGAGAAATAAAAATAAATAATAATAATAATAAATAAATAAAGAAAGAAAATTCTGACGAAAACAATAGGTGATCTGTCGAAAACGACAGACCACCTAATAAATAAATAAAGAAAGAAAATTCTGACGAAAACAATAGGTGATCTGTTTTCAACAGACCACCTAATAATAACGGTAACAATAATTATAATAATGATAATAATAATAATAATAATAATAAGAGTAATACAAGCAAAATAACACTTTATCATCAACGTCATCATCATCATCAACAGTAATAAACAATAATAATATTATTGTTGTTTGTCGCCCTGAGAGGATGGTTGCCGTGAACGTTTTCCTAAGTGGATGATTGCCAGAGGTACTACATACTACTCACTTGCAACAAGGAAAGCGTCGTCATCGAATCGAATGCCCTGGTCGTCGAGGTATTCAGAAAGCTGTTTGTATTTCGCTGTTACATTGTGATTGACCGGTCGCCCACCGAAGGTGATGCCGTAGAACTCCCGGGGATCTTCCATGTGCACTAGCTCCACCCCAGAGTCCTAAACAAAAATGAAATCCACAATATCGATTAATTCTACTGAAGAAAATATCTTTATACCAAGTCATTTTGTAATTCAATCTTTCAAAGAGATCAATGGGTTTGATACATTTCCCGCTGATTATTATGTTTTCAAACTGAAGTTTAGGATTTGTTTAAGGGTTGGGGGAAGTGGGATGGTCGAAACATGCCCCCATTGTCTCGGCCTTATTCAAAATCATGTCAACTAGACCCCGTGCCTACTTGGTTGATGAAATGGTGTTTAGATGAGCTCCTGCTCATAGTACCTGCAGCATACGAGAAATCTCACGTGATTCCACTTCTGAAGAAGAAGGCATTACAGGCCAATATCCAACTTGATGTTCATTTCAAAGGTCCTCGAAAGGATTGTCACAGCTCAACTTCGTGCATACCTGGAGACGAATGACCTGTTCCCGTATATGCAGTCTGCGTACAGACAGTTCCATTCAACAGAGACTACACTCATCAAAGTCTACAATTTGATCTGCTTCTGGTGGTCGATAAAGGGCTAGAGGCTGTTTTGGTTTTGCTTGATTTCTAAGCTGGTTTTGAAACGATCGAAGGAAGATCTGACATAAATAAAATCAAGTATAACAATGAAACTGTTGAAAATTCCAAAGATATTGCGAACATTTTTAATAATTACTTTTCCTCAATCGGTAACAATCTCGCCGAAAATATCCCCCCATCAAACAAAAATTATACTGACTTTTTAGGCCCCGCTAATCCGAATTCTATTTTTTTCTTTCCGACAAATAGACAAGAAGTCCTTAATATCGTCTCTAATCTACAAAATAAAACAAGTTCTGGCTTCGATGGAATTAGTAATGTTATTTTGAAAGCCATTATTCCTTTTATTGTCGACCCATTAGTCCATATATTCAATTTATCATTACTGCATGGTGAATTTCGTGATTCCATGAAACTAGCAAAAATTATTCCCCTATTCAAAAAAGGTGATAAACTTGAAATCGGTAATTACAGGCCAATCTCCTTGTTATCTTCATTTTCCAAAATCTTGGAAAAAATAGTATTTACTCGAATGATTGCTTTCCTGAAGAAATATGATATTTTATCCAACTTTCAGTTTGGTTTCAGGGAAAAACATAGTACTGTTCATGCTTTAATGTCTTTTGTTGAAAAAATTGCCTATTCAATTGACTCGTCTTCTCACACAGTTGGTATTTTCCTGGACTTCTCCAAGGCCTTTGATACGATAAATCACGAAATTTTACTTTACAAACTCGCCAATATTGGTGTCCGTGGAAAGGCCTTGGAGTGGTTCAGGAGCTACCTTTCTAACAGAAGACAATTTGTGTTTTTAAATGAGCAGGCATCTGATTTTAAAAAATATTACTTGTGGTGTTCCGCAAGGGAGTCTTTTAGGCCCGCTATTGTTTATTATTTATCTAAATGATTTTCATAAATCACCCAATGCTATGTCATTCATTTTATTTGCTGATGATACTAATTTATTTTTTTCACACAGTGATCCAAATATTATTGTTGATGTAATTAACGCAGAGTTGCGAAAAATATTAGAATGGATTAGAGCTAATAAATTGTCATTGAATCTCTTGAAGACGAACTACATATTGTTCAGTAACTCCTTAACATCATTACCCACTGATATTATTCTTGACAACACCCCTCTTGAGCAAGTTTCTCATACAAAATTTTTAGGTGTTGTGGTTGATAGTAAACTATCCTGGAAACTCCACGTTGAAAATATTTGTAAAACTATATCTCGCAATGTTGGTATCATTAACAGACTTAAATCACACCTTACACAACGATCTTTGCTTATGCTTTATTCTTCTCTTATTTTACCATACTTAAATTATGGACTTCTGCTTTGGGGAAACACGTACCAAACATTGGTGGAAAAAGTTGTATTACTACAAAAGAAAGTCATTCGTATCATATGTAATGCTCCTTTTCTTGCCCATACGGATCCGCTGTTCCTTGAACATAATATCCTAAAAATTAACGATCTATACTTATTACATCTAGGTGAATTTATGTATAAATTCAATTCTGGTACTCTTCCATTTGCGTTTCACGATATGTTTAAACAAAATCGTACATTTCATAAATATCCCACAAGACAGTCAGAAGAATTTCATTTACCTTTTTTGAGAACATTTTTTGCACAAAAAACATTCATCTTTGAAGGCCCTAAATTTTGGAATACTTTGCGTGTTGATTTGAAAAACTCCCCTTCTCTCTCAGTCTTTAAAAGAAATCTAAAGAAATCTTTACTGGCCCCGTACAAAACCTAGCTCCTTGTTATATTGCCTGTGTATATTATATGCAGGAATGTTCATGGTTATTACTATTGTCATTATTTTAATTATGATCATTATTGTTGAGATTGTATTATGTTCTCCAGAGAACTCGTCACCACTCGTTTACCAAGTACTTCCTCTCATTGAACTGTTCTTCTTTTTTTGAAAATTTGATCTTGCGCGCAACCTTTATTCTGTTTGTTATCACCTTTCATCTATTTCTGTAGTCCACATGCAAACCTTTTCTCTTTACTGTATCCCTTCTCCTCTCACACTCTCCTTGTTTTCTTTGTACATTGTTCGTGTTATGCGTATTGTTTTGTTTCTCCTTTTGTGTCCTCTCTGTTGGCAATTATCCTTATTTTACTCATGTAACTTACTATTATTGAATACTACCACCCGAGGGGTCCACGATTTACAAGCATCGCTTCACAGTGGACCTCTCCGTTTCCAGCTTAACATTAATAAATTATTTTAAGCAGCAATATTTCTTGATATTCAAATATGTAATTCTGTTAAATTCATATTTTGTATTGCATGGTTACTACTTTGATTGTTTATTTTAATGATATTTCTATGAATACTGTATTCTTTTGCTGGAAATGAGAAAAAATAAAATTGAATTGAATTGAAAACTGATGTATGGTCGGCGTCATGATTATGGATTTGATGGAAAGGTACTGCAGTGGCGTGTTTCGTACCGGGAGGACCGTAATTAGGTTATTGTTGTCAACAGAGTTCCTTCTAAAGCATTCCGACTCCCCCTGGGGTGTTCCCCAAGGATCCGTTCTAGGACCTCTGCTCTTTTCGCTGTACACAGGTCTGCTCAGTGAGGTCATCCATGCTCATGATGGCGTCATGCATATGATGTATGCCGACGATACGCAACTGTACATAGTGCTCAAGCAAAATGATGCTCGCATCCACACCCGCTATGGCGATCGTGCCTTTTCTGTTTGTGCCCCCAACTTTGGAACAAACTTCCCCATTAAAATACGCGAGTCTCCAACGTGAGAAACCTTCAAGAGTAAAATTAAGACTTATCTGTTCAATATGTAATGTAATGATATTTCGTTTGTTAATTTATAAAGCGTGAATATGATAGCCTTGTCTACAGAAAGACTAACGGAGTAAGGATGCCAGAAACCTGTTATAACGCCTTCGATGATTAGTATAAAATATATAGGAGTGGGGTCGCATGGGGGGGGGGGGGGTCGACACCACTCGGATGTTTACCCAATAAAAGCTTTTCTCAGCCACTATTAAACGTGGACTTCCCTTCCACGACCGACAGCTCGTGTGTAAAGCACTGTACCCTGAACCTACCGCCATGAGGAATTCTCAATAAAAAAAAAGCTCCCTTCATCGACGAGATATGAATTGGCAAACTAAAGTATGTTCTAGTGCCTATAAGATGGTTGATCACATCATTAGGTAATTCAACCAAATCTGGTGTCAGCGAATTATGATGCAATACACACGGACACTGCCTACTTTGTTGTCTATGTGGCTTTAAATTTCGTACCTTTGATGGGGGTGGGGCGGTTGCCTGCGAAACTGCAGGAATGTAGAAGAGAAGCGCGTAGATTTCGTCACAGCAAGGGAAGGATTCTAATTGGTCGGGACAGAAAGATGGCGCGGCCTTGTTTTCCGAGACTTCCATCATGATTGGTGTTGTCCGGTTAATCCTGTTGTCTAGTAAAACAATTTGACGTAAAGAAAGGTTTAGTAGAATAAGACGAAGTAGGCCTAATTCAAGATTTAGGTTAGCAAGTTTCAAAGTTATTACACCCCTCCTTCTTTGGTTTTAAACAGTTTATATCCGTGTTTCCATATGAATATGTCATTGTACATTTGCTACTGTGTATTATCTATTTGTGTATATTATTTTCCATTGTATATTGTTCATGTGCCTATGTAATGCCAACAACTGAATTTCCAAATGGACCAATAAAATTAATCTGAATCTGAATCTGAATTATAACAACTGAAAAATATACGGAATATTACACTGCCAAAAAGAAAGGCAAATTGAAGTTTCATTTTAGGAGGTGGAAGATTGAAATATAATCTGCCATCTTCACCTTCCTCCCCATGTCAAAGGAGTGATTTAAAAGTATATTCATGCTAATTTTTTTAAGGGGGGAGGGGAGTCCATTTTTCTTGTTTGTTTGTTTCTGTTCGAAATAATAATTGATCAATGATAAGCTAGATCTACATTGGAAAGAAAGCGTGTTGTTTTTGGCGTAAAAGATAATACAATTGGATTGAATTCATTCACTTCCATAAAATCCCCCCTAAAAGTAAAAGCTTACCTTATTCAACATAACGTTTTCATCTAAAATCAAATGTTGGATAAACCCTCTGATAAATTGGGTAATTCCGTAATTAGTGTTTTATGCTTTTTTCGGAATTATGACAGAAAGTACAAAGGTTTGATTCTCAAAGCTTACCCACAAAGTAATTATGGATGTCTATGTAGACTAAACCTAATGCATCAGTTCGGTTGCAGGTTGGAGCGACCTTACGCACCCAAACTCCTGGTTCGATCCGCCGCTTCCACATATCTAGACCATAATCTTCCAATTCAGTATAGACGGGGCACTCTGACCCTGGAGGGGGGGGGGGGTGTAAACCAGTGGTATGGAAATGTTAGTAGAGTCAAACAGTGGTGTATATGGATGGATGGATAAATAGATAGATTTATGACTAAATAATCAAGTCAACACACCGCTCAATGAATAAATAGTTTAGCCTATATATTGATATATAGATAGAAAAATAAATAGATAATAGATTAAAGACACATATTAAATAGATTGATATATATGAACAAATTAATAAATAAATCAATGCATACATAGACAACTAAATGCACAAAATGAATATCTACAAATAAATGAATATAATTATTGAAAGACTCACGTGCACATTGGTGAATTCCATTAGGAGGCTCAGGGGTTGGGGTCGGGACTGCGGCAGTCAACGCAGCGATGAAAGTGAGGAGACAAACTGCCAACATGATTAACGATTCTGTGTTAAGAAAATAGATATTTAAACAAGTTCTCAAACACGAATACGGTAATGTTTTTCGAAAAAGCAACATGAGTAGATAAGGCAACTTTAATCGTTACATGTCGTTTTTCTGAGGGGTCGTAATTCCGAAGGTCGTTACTCCGAAGGTCCAAATTTCCGAAGGTTCGTATTTCACAAAATAAAAGAGGGTTCATAATTCCGAAGGTTATAATTTCCGAAAATGAAATAGGGTTCGTAATTCCGAAAATGAAATAGGGTTCGTAATTCCGAAAATGAAATAGGGTTCGTAATTCCGAAAATGAAAAGGGCTCATAATTTCAAAAATGAAATAGAGTTAATAATTTCGAAAATGAAAAAGGATCCATAATTCCGTAAAAGTAAAAATCTTTGGGTGACCGGTTTTACCATACTCATTTTCCCTGTAGACTTTATTGTTTTAAAAACCGTTAGGAAAGCAAAAAATGCAATTTCGATTTCCAATCACAGATTTGGTTTTATTTTATTTTATTTATTTATTTCTGTTTGATTTTCTTTTTCTTTTGCATTTATACAAATATATAATAAACAAACATTGCTAATTTACACATGACAAAATAATATATGTAGAATAAAGTAAGGCTGGCTGTAACTAATCGAAAACATCAAACAGGAGGGTTGACAAAGTAAGCAAAGCTTGATAGTATGACTACCCTCAAAGGATACATAATAATACAAATATGGAGGGAAAAAATATTTGTAAAAGGGGAAAAAGACAGAAAAAGAAGAAAAAGAAAATGGGAATGCACATCAAGATTCACAGATGTACGTGGTAGTTGGATTTCAATTTGTTATAGAAAGATAAAAAAGAAGATGCAAATTTGAATATTGAGTGGCCAACTTGGGATATAATTGAATGAGAAGACTCGCGAGGTTCGGACAATATGAATGTGAATGTGAGATTAGCCAGTTGGTTTTAAACCTGGGCCTGCGAGTCTGAGCCTTGAAATGTTTGTATACAAGAAAATGTTTATTCAGTACCCCAAGTAGGCCACTCTTTATTCATACCAGGTCATGGAAGGTTATGATCAACGTTTCAATGAATGGAAGCAAACAAAAGTAAAGAGTACTGAAAATTATCGAGTTTTGTAACGACGGGTAAACGAGGAGAACTTATTTTTGTGGTGGATTTAAAGATAATGAGCACTAAGAAACCTTTTCACCGCTCTTTTAAAGGAAAGCATTGTATTCATAATTTTTATTTCAGGGGGTAGTGCATTCCAGGTATCAGGGCCAGAATATCTAATTGAGTTTTGAGCTAATTAGGCTGTTTTGGTGTTAAATAGGTGATAGTCATTGGAATGCCTGGGTGGGTAGGAATGAAAATGAAAATTATGTTGGAATAAAATGGCTAGTGATGGGGGAAGAATGCCGGATTTAAGCCGAAACATGAACAGAGATGTTTGCATGTAGTGTATATCACTTATTTTTTTTAGAGTTTTTAATGTGGCAAATAAAGGGTCAGTGTGGTCGCGATAACCTGCATCGGTAAAAACTCGAATTGCTTTTTTCTGTAACATTAATATACGATTAGTATTCCACTTATGAGTAGCCCATATGATATTGCAGTAAGAAGTATACGGTAAAACCAGTGTATTATATAGCATACTAAACATCTTCTCTTTTCTTATCATTTGCTAGGCCGTGACAAATCATTGAAATAAAAATAATGTCATCCTGTATCAGAGAAGAGTACCGAAGCGAAAAAAGGCGACGAACTACCTGTGGAAGATTTTTCAATATAAGGACAAACACAGAAAACGAAACTCAATCATCGAATATAAAGGTGGGCTCGCACTGCGATCTCAAATAACGACACATCCGACAAGCCACGTTCAACAGCATTGCGGCCGAAACAGCAAACAATAAATCCTCTCAAGATCCTCTGAAAAACGAGTCCAATATTTACATTATTTACACTCGCGAAAGGACCGCCTTCGGTGGCCTTTCGCGCGCTTTGTTTGAGCGATATAAGATGTTGAAAGGACGTACTGAGGGTTGAGACATTGGTGGAGTGGAAAAACAAAACAAAAGATGTTGGTGAATGTAGTATCCTAAACAGTTCAGTTCAGTTTTATTTAAAAAAAACATGACATAGCAATTATGACGAACAAACATGATCCAAACTTTGAGACCCTAAAAAGCTATGCTTGTGAGTGGGGCCCCTGGGAAGGATGGACCTCTAAATCCCGGCGGATTGGCAAAGAGACCACACAGTTAAAATTTTTGTGAACAAGTTGTTTAAAAGTATAAACAACTCTTGATTAACGGGTGACCTGATCTAAGAGTTGTTTAAAATGTTAAGCAACTCGAGTTGTTTAAAGTTTAAACACTTAGTTGATCAACATTTTGAACAACTTGTTTAAAATCACAATTTAAACAACCGGTGTTGTTTAAAGACGGTTGTTTAAAACGGAGCTGTTGTTCAGTGGAGGTTGTTTACACCAACTGGGTTGTTTAAAGAAAGTTGTTTAAAAAGGAGCTGTTGTTCAGTGGGGGTTGTTTACACCAACTGGGTTGTTTAAAGAAAGTTGTTTAAAAAGTAGCTGTTGTTCAGTGGGGGTTGTTTACACCAACTGGGTTGCTTAAAGAAAGTTGTTTAAAATGGAGCTGTTGTTCAGTTGGGGTTGTTTAAACCAACTGGGTTGTTTAAAGAAAGTTGTTTAAAAAGGAGCTGTTGTTCAGTGGGGGTTGTTTACAACAAAAGGGTTGTATAATGGGGTATGATTTGGGTTTGATACTCTGAATAAGTGCACCACTACTTCTGGGTCTCTATATAGGTATATGAAGACTAGGGTAATTCTGCAATTCACGAATTAGCGCCAAAACAGTGCCCATTTTGCATGAGCGCGCATGCACGCACGTATAAACTGCATATATAGGGATGCATGCAATCTCTATGGCAAGGAATTTAGCACACGTTATAACCGAGTGCGCGATCAGTGCCGCACTGCATGACGCGACGATTTTAAGTCTACCTATATTCTGACATTTGCGTACAGATACCGAAAATTTTAACTGAACTTACGCTATAAGTTAAAAACTTCAAATTGGTTAATAGAAAAGTGATTTCAATTAAGCCATTGAATCCCCAGTCACTTAGAAGCGTGTCGGTAGCTTGGTCGGCCATGATGTGTGTTGTGTTGTGGGTTGGAAAGTAATAACTATTAAGCTAAATAAATGTAAGTATAGAGACGAACAAAATGGAGCCTGCAGAAACACGTGTGGTTGCTTTGGTAGTTTAATCCAGACTCAATGTCCATGTGCTTTTACATATGTATCAATCTGTGTAGTCAACAGAAGACCCTTGCATACACTTGCATTGTGTGTATGCATCTAATATGAATAACAATGAGCTGTGCCTTAACAGCTGCACTGCATTTCTAAGTGGCATGTCAATTTCAATTGCATGTTAGTTTCAAGGAACCTGTTTCTAAACATAACAATGTGCGATAAAGCCTTTAGCCAACACGCACTTTACTGGCACGAGACACATGACGTCATATGTAAACAACACTGTCTAAAAGCTCTCGTATAGTAAATATAGCAGTCATTAAATTTTAAACAACGAATGTTTAACAAAATTACTTCTGTTTCGAGCAACATTGTTTACAATTTGATCAACTGTTGTTTAAGATAGTGTACAACTGTAAGTGAACATCACTTTTTTAAACAGCGTTTTTACTGTGCAACGTGTTTCAAGGATCTGCGCTATTAAAGGTAATACAAAGTTTTGGGAAGTTTTGAAAATTGGCTGGATAGTGATTATTTACAATTTTGATATATTTGGATGCCCCTGTGGATGTATTATAAACACAAGAAAATTAAGCCCCTAAAACATTTCTGCTTTTGAGAAAGATTGAATAAAAAAAATTACCGGTGCTCAGGTAATTTTGTTGATAAATTGTTGATAAATTTCAAATAGCGCCTACGGCCGTACAATGGTAGCTGCGACCATGAAATTCTCAGAATATGTAGTTGTGATACATAATTTTCAAACGGGAATAGCTAATCGGCCGATTATAGTCAAGAAACATTGTTGTATAGCTTAATTGATATCTTGACCTTGAGAGGGAGCTATACAACATAAAGAGTTTATTATTTACAATTTCATAAATTGAGACTCGATTTCAACCGCGACAACGATCACTGAATATTTTAGGATCGCATATGCTTCCAATATGTTCATTTGAACCGAATTGATGACCCCATACCAAAATGGTGTATTAACTTTAAATACATGAAAGATAGTAGGATACGATCATGGAAACTATACAGTCTCACGCGCGCAGAGCCCCCCCCCCCCCCCCCCCCCCAAAAAAAAACAAAACAAAACAAAACAAAACAAAACAAAAAAACAAAACAAAACAAAACAAAACAAAACAAAACAAAACAAGCAGTTCATTTACAACAACAAAAAACATGGTAATGTACAAAACTGATTACAAGGAAATGGCAAGGTTATGTAACTTTAAAAACATATTTACGAGGAGAAAAAAGCATGATATAAAAAACATGATAAAAAACATCATAAAACAAAACATAATATTAAACAATAACTGATTACAAGGTTATTTAATTTAAAAAATATTTAGAAGGAAAATAAAGCTGAATCACTGACAACATCATGAACCCGCTCAACCCCCCCCCCCCCCCACCCCAGCCGTAAGTGGCTTTCATGCTGTTTTTTTTTTCAATAGTTTTTTATATTGATTCCAAACAATACAAATTAATCTTAGAAATAAAATACAGTTGTTTTTCATTGACATGAATTCAAAACATTTTCATTGGTAGATAGATTGTACAATTAATGAAAAAAAATGAAATCAGTTGTAACATAAAACAAATAACCCTATCCAACCAAACACACTACTACCCCCCCCCCCCCAATCATGCGACACACACACCACCCGACCACACTTCCACCACACACTGTTCCTAGCCTCCTCTGAATACCCCAAATTGGAGCGACAGACAAACAGAAACAATCTATTTAAAACATTTTTTTTAATCGTTTAAACGAGGCTGCAATAGCCACAATAGCCCAGTGTTAAAAGTTCATGAAAACTGCACTTGTTCCCACTTCTGTAAATGTAAGACCAATTTACCTGCCCTCCCTGCATTATTCTTTTCTTCTTCCCTGAATTCCAACAGTTCGTTTTGAAACTCCCCCAGAGACAATATTACGGACTTTCCCCTGCATCTATATATCCAATATTTCATTGCAAAATTAATTGTATTAAAAATCTTTATTCTTGGGGAATTACCGGACAACCCTAAATGAATATCTATTCAGACGATAGACCTTAATTCCCTTAGCTCAAACTTAGCTATTACATTTTGCCATAATCTTTGAACATGTACACACTCCCAGAACAAATGTAAATATTTTTCTATCTTTTGTTTACCAAATGAGCACAAGTTATCTACAACAAAACCGAATCTGAATAAATGTCTCTAGTATATATTGCTCCATGAAGCAGTTTATACTGAATTTCTCTTAGTCTGTTAACAAGAGTAACTTTCCTAGGCCTACTAAATATCTCCCTACATACGTCATTTGAAAAATCTAGAAATTTCCGTCCATCATGAATCTTCAAGACAAATAAATTTTGTAACTTCTCTATAAAATATTCATAAACTTTCCTCGATAATACATCTCTGAGGAGCTTCACAGTACTGTTAAACTGCATTAAAATACCATACTCTTTTACATCAACTAAACTCCAGTTATCCCTTTTTCCGCTTCTCAAAATAGCTTCCCCAATATTCCATACATCAACAATTTTGTTTCCTTTTAACCCCAAATGTTGAAAATGAGATATTGCACGCATGCCATTTTCAGCAAAAAATATCTTGAATTGAAATTATATTGCGTTGTCAGATATGAACGAGTATAGTGATGCAAATATTTGCGCCCAGTCTGCTACTGTCATCAAAAATCATTTTCTTTTTCAATAAGAAATCGTTATTGTTAAAAATAATTGAATTATTCTTTTCTTCAACATTCCTACAACCTTCTAACTCTTCCCATGCTTTGATCATTTCTAAACAGAACTTAGGTACTTTGAAACTTAATAACTTGGAATCATAGTTACACAAAAAAAATCTACCCCTGTACGCATCAAATTCATACACACACACACACACACGCACACGCACACACACACGCACACACACACACACACACTCACACACACACACACACACACACACACACACATACAGGCTGACTGGCTAATCCTTACTATAATATAATACATTAATAGTAAGTAATAACGGCAATCTATTTCAATCTATCTGACAGATATGATTTACACAAAAGTCTAAATCTAGTAAGAGTGGTACTGTCATTAATGCCTGCGGGTAACTGCATGGTTCCACTCTTTAATACATGTGATTCTGTCAAAATAAATATGAATTTGTTGATAGATATTAATTGGTATACGACTATTTGTTGATGTAATCGTGAAACCATGATTAAATTAAAAAGGAAGACAAATAGAGAAAAAACCTAATTGCTTTCGATACGTTTCATTTTAAAGTATTTTCGTTTTTGTTGAACTGCTTCTCATCATTAATCATGGTACTTAATTTTTCACGCACATTCAGCACCTAAGAAATACAGAACAACTAAATTTGCAATACAGTAGACTTTGCTTAATACAAAATTTAAGAGGACACTGATCAACTGATGTAACCAATTCTTATCCTGTCCCAGAAAATCAAAATATCTTTGTAACTTCACTAATTTTCACAACTGGGAATTTTCACAACTGTATTTTTCACATGATCAGATCAACGCGAACGAAAAAGTAGATTAACCAAATACATAGATACAGCGCAAACAATCACAGCTTTCGTGTTCGCTTTACATGTAGATGAAGGCACCAAGTACCAGTGAACGCAATGGTACTATGAAATTGTTGCTTATTTCAGTTATCGGTGAAAACGTTGCTGATACGAAATCCTGTAGACCAGCACAGACATTTTCTCTCGCGGAACCATTTAATATATATGCTGAAATATTTTATTATTCTCAATTTGAAGAGTGTACATTTGCTGTACAGCGCAAGTACCGATATCCGTTGCCATCCTCTTTCAGGAACTATTTGGAGTCTTTATTCTCATTTTGAGATTTCAAACAACTTATTTTAAAAATCCCAAACTTTAGAATAATCTGTAGTCTGAACGAATTACAAAACAATAAATAAATGACAAAGTAGAGTTAAACGAACAGTAAAATAAAGAGAGTTAGAGAGAGAGAGAAAGAGAGACGTGGTGCAGCATCCTAAGTTCAAGGGTTCAAGCAAGTACAAAAGGATAGTACACAGTTGTAATAAAAAGGCTTCTCTCGAGAAGTCTATTGATATTTACAAAGGGAGAAACCTGTTGAAGGAACATTGTATGTGCATGGTTTCTTATAAGATCTGCATCTGAATACATTCTTTAGCGTTGACGAGTCCTGCATGCACAAATAAACTGGAGGTACTACTATATTGGCCAAGAAAAGTCCATAGTACATATGTACATAGTACATAGTGATGTACACAAAATAAACAGCGTTTCTTCACGTCCAATAATGAGTAGGCTATATAAATACAGACGTATGTTCGATTTACACTTCTTCGTGTTAAATATGTTAGACAAGAAAAATCTTTATACAAGGAATAGTCTGCCTAGTTTCCGGACTGCTTTACTGTGTTATAACCACATTCTTTCCTTTCATTCTATACCAAAAAGAAAATAGTGGCTAATTCAATATTGGAGGAGAAGAGGGCAAAATGCAAAATATCATGATGTACGGCATATGCATGGCTTTTCTTCCGACATTTTGTCGGGTAAAAATAAATCAACAATAAACAACAAATCAAAGAGTAGAAATGTAATGAAAATTTGCTTCTGACAAAATACAAGAAGTGAAAAAAGAAAACGTATCGAAATCCGAACATCCTCTCAACATGTCATTTTCTCTACCCTTTTCTGTTTAATACTCGGTTTATCGGGTAAAAGGAAATTAATTTCAAATCGTTAAAAAGTAAGATCCACTGTCCATTTTCCATGTCATATATTCAGGTATTGCTGAAAGGTCCCCGAAAAAGCTAAGGAACATTACTTTAATGAATGCCAATGATATTGTACAACGTGATTCTATGAATAGTTGCATTTGAATAATGAAGCATTATGTAACAGTTCTTCAATGTATGTCTAGGTTCGTTTTACAGGCATTCGTGTTAATATCTTAGAAACCATCTCCACTCTCTCATTTCTATCATTGACAACAATTAAAAAGTATCGAAGTCACAACATCTTCTGAAAATGACAGTTTTAACACTCAAAGTTCAAAACCATTATTTTTTTATAAATATGCTCGGTCTTTGGGATGAAAGGAATTTAAGTTAAAAAAATCACGATCCCCTCTCCATTTCCCCAGTTTCCGAATATATCCAGGTATTTCCGAAAGGTCCCCAAACCAGCTTTGACACATTTTATACATAATAAAGGCCAATGAATTGTTCAACGTTGTTCTCTTAAAATTACATTTGAATGGATACAAATTATGTATCTGTTCCTCAAATAATTTCATGTTCGTTTGACACTTAGTCGTGTTAAATATCTTACACAGGCAAAATCGTTATACAAGGAATAATGTGCCCGGTTTACGAACTGTTTTACAGTGTCATGTCCTCATTTAAAAAATGTGTTTTTATATAGTTTTTTTTTTCAACAGGATAGTTTCATTTCAAGTCCATTTCTGGACCTGCTCTCCCAGAGAGCCCTGCATTCACTTAAAAACATGTACAATAAAAACATGAGTTCAAAACATACATACAAAGGTAAACATATACATGGCATATACAATAATTAAACTCAAATTGATATAGATAAGAGAAAGGAAAACAAAGAAATATTAAACATAGGCAACATAAAAACACACATTAACAATAAAAAGGAAACAAATACAACTATCAAATTGAGAAAACTAAATGAAATGTAATTAATAAATGTCAAATTAACGTGAAAAGATGTTTACAAGAGAAACTGAAAACTTTAGACATTACTTTGTTAAACTTTGCAGAGACTTACAGTTTTGATTACTACAGGGTATTTTATTGTATAATTTAGCCCCTGGAACCTGAAAGGTTTTCATTAAAAAATTTGTTTTACAATTTGGAATGAATAATGGACTGTTTAGAGCATAACGAGTAGAATATAATACCGGTCTTTTACTGACACATTGATTTAGATATGGTGGTGATAGGTCATTTATGATTTGAAAAATCAAGATGCATTTCTGATATTTTATTTTTTCCTCTACTGACTGCCATTTCAATTTACTCATTAAAACATTTCGGGGTGAAAAAATATTCGGCACGAATAACTTATTGTGCATAACTATTTTGTAATTTTTGCAACTTTGTTCGATTTTGTTTCGAAGTATTTCCCCATACTGAATTGCAGTAGTTTCAACGCGGTAATATAAGAGAATAGTATAATGTAAGCAGATTCTTACGGGAAATATAATGGCGTATACGTCTAATGCAGGCAATTGTATTCGATACTTTCTTTACAACTTCCCTTACATGTAGTGACTATGTTAGACATTTTTCTAATGTTACACCTAGATATTTTATATTTTCGACTGAGTTTTTAATTAGGGTTTTTTCGCATGTTAGAGGGTTAGTACAGTAAAAGGAATACAATACGCAACATTTCATACACACATTACGAATTTTGTTCACCAACCTTCAACAATGTTACCGAGTTACTTCGAAACAGTTGTTGAAAATTAAGAGGCTTTACTGGGTCCACAAAAAGTAACTTACCAATAAACTTTATTACTTTGTAGAGATTCTTAAACAGTCCTGCAAACGGCCACCCTATGTGCTGCTCAGTGTATGGAGTTATTGTCTGCCCGTATCAACAGCTGTGACTCCAAGATGAGGATACTAGTGGTTTTGAGATACCAAAAACACTGCTGAAAACAAGATCACGTGACAACCTACTCGGGTGTGACGTAGCCATGATCCCCGGGGGTCTCAGTCAAATATAAATACTGTAAGCAGGCGTGACAAAAACAACGCGTATAAAGGGGTGTTTTTTATAGATTGGACGCGTTCCTCATTAAGGGGTTAAAAAACGTCCATTTTTTGCCATTTTCAAGAAAAATGGTACTTTTTCAAAATGGATCAAAACATGCTGTACGCGCCGGTATACGCATCTAGGGGATATTTTTCTAGCCCTTACTGCCAGGACGGGGGGGGGGGGGATAATAATTGCCAATTAGCGAGACTACCGGCCGCCGCCTAGCTAGTTATAGCAAATATGATAGACGTGCGGCTCTCTGTCATCTTTGGTTATAGTGTGGAGTTTGGACGACGAGCGCGAGTAGGTAGCATGGAATGATATGCATATCGCATGCACCCATATAGTCTTATTATTTTATTATGCATAGTTGAATAATAACTGTTCATTGTACATAGTGTACTTTTTGTAAATACTACATGCATGTACTTTATATAAAATAGATCAAATTTGAAACTTATCTATTGAAATAAATGTTTGCATTGTGAATTTTACATCAGAAGCACAAGTTGATTTACTCTATATCATCAACTTAAATTTGAATTCCTATCGCACATCTAGGCCCGAATTTACAAAGAAGGTTTGTCGACAAACTTTGGTTTTCGTACGTCATATGACGGGTTTTACGCGTTTTTTACAAACCTGGTTTGTTAAAGAACAAAAGGAGGTTTGGCGAAACAAAAGGAGGTTTGGCGAAACAAAAGGAGGTTTGAGCTCAAACCTTGCTTTGTGAATTCGGGCCTTAATGTTCGAGAGGTTACAATTCTACAATACTTGTTTAGGAGTCCACTCTTTTGAAATACCCGTTTAGGGTATGAATTCGTGAAAACACACACGCGAAATCCTCATTTACATGTAGGGTGTAGTTTGGCTTCAAAAGAAACCCCCGTTTAGGGGGTGTCTGCAATCACTTTAGGAAATAGTTTGATTTCAGACCCTTGTACCGAATGGTCGTATGTTTTGTGCTGCGCAAAGATTTAATCAGTTTAATTCTGGCCATTACAAGAAGTGAGTTATTGCTGTAGACACATGATCATTTATTAACAGCTCATTTTATATATGTTATTACTAAAGAAAAAAGAAGTCAGTCAGTCACTTCAACAAGCTCTGCTTCTTAGTTCCTCTTTTAATACTCGTGCCTTTTCTACTGTATTTGTCGTTTCATTGCATATTTTTTGTAATATAATTATTCATTGTATTATGTTTTGCGTGAGAAATAAAATCATTTGAACATAGTCTCTGACAGTGAAGTCTAGATAGTAAATGGGTTTCCTTGCATAAGTTTAATACTAAGACACTGCTAATGTCTAAATTTCACATATAGGACATACGTGACATATTCCTGCAAAGTTCTACACAATTTGATGTTGGATGCAAAAGGGATACAGTACCTTTAAAAGCAACATGTTTTGAGTAATGAAATACGATGTCACATCACTTGCAATGGACGCGATCGGGTAGGTAGCGTACCCAGACCATTTTGTATCGAGGGGGATGTCGGACAAAATTTACTCCTAACCTTTAGCTGCATCCCAACAAGCCAAAAAGCGTTAACATGTTTGACAATGACCAACATACTATAATACATGTAAAACCGAAAGCGGAAGAAGGTTGTAAAAAACATGTCTTTGTCGTCAACGATGAATCAAACACATGATCGCGAAATATATTAACGCTCAACAATAGCTGGTGAGAAGAACGAAAGTGTAAACATATTGATGAAAAAAAAAAGAATTCCAAGCCTTTTGTAAAATAATCAGGTAATGGTATTGTCCTCACAGATTGATGTAAGTTACAGGCTGGGGATGGCATTTTGTTTCAATTTTCTTATATATCTTAAATCCTTTCTCAGTACAGAATGTAAATGGATAATTGGCATTGAATCATTTCTCCATTGACTGAATTGAAATAATTTCTTTAAAATGTTTTCACTTATCCACATATGTAGTGTATTGTTTTGTCCTGTTATGGAAAACAAAATAAAAATAACATTATTGATAACTCCTCATCTCGTCTTTGACAGCACGTCTGTCTGCTTGTCTCAATGCCTACTCGGTTCTAGGACACCTTCCCCCTGGACATCCACCACCCGGATAATGCCTAGGTCACATTTGCCGCGGTGGCCGTGCGGTATGAAATATCTACGGCCAATAGCAATTATAGGACTGCCGCAGCATTCCCACGGTCACATACAGTATAGCGGTCGTATTTTGAATTTGTGGAGACAGAAAATCTGCGGCTGCCGTACGGCCTTAGGAGTGATGACGCAGGGTCGCCTTAGGACGACCCTGCGGTGGCTGTAGCTTTTTGACAATACACCAGTTTACAGTTGTATCAGTGCGCATGCGCAGACAGTTGACCTCGGGTCATTGGCCTCGGAAGGGGGCCAATAACCTCTGACCTCTGGTATTTATGCGTAAATTAAGATTGCGCACATGCAAATGATGATGTGCGCGCACAACGCAGCGCGTAGGGCAGTGATATTAATGAAATTTGCATGGGCGCAATCCTAATTTACGCATAAATACATGACCTCTAGGTCATTGGCTTTGTTTAAAATGGCGCACACAACTGTAAACTGGTGTATTACTAAGGCAGACGCAAGGTAGCCGCAAGGTACCCGCAAGGCGGCTTAAGGGAAACCATACGGCGATCGTGCAGCCAGACTGATGCTACCACTTCACCTCTGGAGTATATATAAAGCAAGGCCACCGTACGTCCGACATGTGGTCGCCGTGGAATCGCTCTACGGCATGGCTACGGCGTGTCTAATCGCTACAGCGAACCTAGAAATAAAAAAGTTATAACTCCGCGTTATAATCCCACGGCGACCCGTACGGCCTGTAAAGATAGGGATACGCCCTATAGTCTGCAAGCACAAACCCTGGTCAGTCGTAAAAGTGAGTCTGCACTGTAAGACTACCATAGGCCATGTACTGTAGCTGCTTGACACAACCAGTAGGTAGCTGGGCTAGGCTTCTCTCAAGGTACAGTGATTTTTTGATAAAAATTAGTGTCAAATTAGGGTCTGTGCTTGCAGACTATACGCCCTAGAGCAGGCGCGTAAGCGGGGGGGGGGGGTTAACCCCCCTTTAATTTTGTTTAAATGTGTGTATTTTGGCGGAAACCCCTCTCCCCCCCCCCCCCCTTTGTTGGTCAAATTGATGTCTAAGCTGAAGTTGATACCAGATTTGGCGGCTCGATTCTGCCCGTTATTATGTTAGAGCCATTTTCCTTGCCAAATTGCCCCGAAAAATGTGCTTATTTTGGTCCGCGGTGTCAGAACCACAACCATCTATATACAGATTTTGGCCAATTTGGCTTCACTGGGTCACAACATGGCGTATATTCTTTTGTTTTGTGCTTGTCCAACAAGCGGTAGTCGCAATATTGTGTCCAACTCAAACCGGGTTGGCAAAACTCGGTCAGAACAAGTGTCAAACGCCCCCACGCGCCGTCATTTATGACCGCGAATCCTTCATGATTCAGCCGCGGACCAAAATAAACACATTTTTGGGGGCAATGTTGCAAGAAAAATCGGCTCTAACATAATAACGGGCAGAATCGGGCAGCCAAATCTGGTATTACCTTAAAGCTTAGACATCAGAAAAAAATGTTGGTAATAAAATGAAAGCGGAACTCCCTGGAAATTCAAACATTTCCTGTGGTTTTATAAAAAAAAAACATTGATAGTTAGTTCATGTTTCAGTGAATTACTTTATAATATAACCCATTAATGCGGTAAAATGAACTATCAGGAGTATGTAAGATAAATTTCATATCAATAACTTTAAAACTTCATGTTAAATCGAAAGATTTATAAAATAAGTCACTTTTGCACTAAAACTGTGAATATTTAAGATTTTTTTGTTTGAAGGAGTACATTTATACCTTTATTGTGTATACCGGAATTAAATATTTTACTGAGGTATTCTTCGATATATCATCTTTCAACTGGGCAAGAAAAAAAATTGGAAAAAAAAAATCACCAATAAAAGAGTTTTGGCGCACTTTGGTTCCTCCCTGGCCCCCTGTGTGCCGTATTGTAGCCGTAGAGCAAATGTGTCCTAGGCACTCTCAATAATTATCCACTTGGTCTTGCTTTTGAGATGTCTCCTTCTCCCACCATTTTTTTTCATCTTTTGTACTTCTTTCATTTCTATTCCATTGTGTTTTCTATTTGACATTCGATGCTTTGTCAGCGGTTGGACTGGATTTCTTAAATGCAAGGGATTTATTGTTCGGCCTCGGTTTAACAACTTGCATCTCCACCGGTGCTGGCGCTGGCCGCGACTACCTTAGCTTCCCGTTGATTTTCTGCGAGGAGTTGTGCTATTTGATTCTTCAGGCATATTCTTCATAATTATGGAAATTGTGCATGCGTAGATCGTAGATATAATCAGCTCATACTTTGTGCCAGTGCCACTACCAGCATTTGTACATCTGAAGAAGCCGATATCATTTAAACCCATCGCCATGAATGTCACCTTAAATTAGCGCACGATATTTGCGTAATATCAGTTGGCAAATTTTTGTTTGCAGTAATTCCTTCACATTACTGGGCGTCCATCGTTGCTCTGTAAATATTTGTCTAAAAAGTGCCATAGCTGGCGCTATATACGGGATCTCTAGGAGCTCTTTGAAGAAAAACAAACGTGAAAACTATCATGATTTGGAATAGGTTTTCGGTACTTTGTATTTTGGAAGGGTATCAAATTTGATCGGTTTGATGATGTAACAAATCTACAGTCATACATGGGTTAATGGTAAAATATATCTTAACATAGTGGTAAATAACAATTTGGGTATAGAGCAAAACAACGTTGATACTTCGATGCAATAATAGAGCCTTTTAGATTTACACGACGAGAGCATGGACTGCCGCGTGTGACATTGTGTTAAGGCACTGGGCCGTGCCCGGCAGTGCCTTAAAAAGACGTCACATTACCTTAAAAGGATACCACACATGGTGGTCCACGTTCTCATCGTGTAAATCTAAAAGTCCCTACTAAGATAAAATATCGTTAGAGATACTCAATGCATAAAGCGTGCCTGGTTTGTTTTGACAGTTTATTTAACAATCCACTGTTTGACCGTGCATTTACTACTTTCCATTTTGATGTACCATTGGTCTTCTTTATGAGCCATAACCGCCATCTTCTTTTTCTTGAATTCCTCCAGGTTTGGAGAACTGCGGATGAAATAAGGAAACACATTTTGCTCATAAAACGGTCGACATCGCTTTATGCTGACCCCCCCCCCCCCCCCAAAAAAAAAAAAAAAAAAAAAAAAAGAAAAAGAAAAGAGAAGTGTTATTTAGGGGTACGCGTATGCATGTTCCCTCTTTTTGAAAGCACCCCCTATCTCCAGTGTAAAAGTAAATGTCGGGCCGGACTTTGTCACGCGAAAAGGTATCCTTTTACCGGAGATTTTGGGAACACGCATGCGATCCCTCCGACCACGGAGTGAGGGGGCGGGGGGCGGGCTGCATGGACCTTAAGTTCTATGAAAAATAATAATATGTAGGAGGAATTTAAAACACAATGGAATGAGGACATTTGCATACAAATGCATTAGCACCAATACCTACATTGTACAGACTCCTGGTTAAAATGCGTATTTCTCACTCGATCAAATTAGTTAGCCACGCACCGTTGAACAAAACATCAAGTGTATGGATATAGTAATTAATTCAAAAATATAATACACGCAAGATCACGCTTCATAAGATTACTTGGATAAAAAACAAATACAAATGTTGCACAGTTTTTCAAATGTGAAATCATCAAAGAGTTCAGAAAACTTCCTTTCTCTCTCTCTCTTTCTTTTCTTTTCTGGGCCTCTCATTCCATACTTCGTCCATACTCCCGTCCATACTTCGTTTTATTTTTTTTTTTTTTTTTTTTTTTTGGGGGGGGGGGGGTGGGGGGGGGGGACAGAAACATTAAGGGGGATGTTTAACCCCCAACCCTCCCTGTGTATTTGCTTGCTAACAATTGATTTGATTAGTATTATGTATATTTTAATTTGTTGAAATAATTTTTTAAAATAAATCTTTTCTATTTTTGCTTCTTTTATTTACCGTTGTAAAGTAATTTCGATTGATTTGAGCGTGAGGGGAGCGAATGATTTGATTGTGTAAATTGAACCTAAACTACTTGGTTCAGTGGCTGATGTGATGATTGCACTGAAAACATATAATAAACATTATGGTGAAATTTTGGAGGAAAAGTGAACGGAATTTTGTTTACTGTTCTATTTAGAATCCCTTAAATAACAATTAAAATAAAGAGATGTGGAAAAGCACGCTATAGTATATGAGTGGTAATGTGTAAGCTTCACGGCTCGGATGCACCACCCCCCCCCCCCCCCCCAACTATGTAAGACGGCGTCCTTTCGTAGGCAGTCTGTCGATGAATGTGTTCTCATAGCGAAAGTAAACCACAGGTGTCGTAGTCAAGTGGTTTAAACATGGAAATACGTAGGTCGTGGGTTCGAGCCCTGGCACGGCACTAATGTCTCCGTTAGCAAGTCAATTATCGACATTTTCCAGTCTTCGCTGAGGTGATAAATGGTACCTGATTGACATGTGTACGCTTGTGAAGTGGTACATGGCCCGAATACTCCCCAAGCAGGGGGGCGTGTGTATTATCATTTCGGGATTACCAACTGAATCCAATGACTGAGGTCATAATATTATAATGTAAAGCACCGGAAACGCAGCGTTATTGCTTTAACAAATGTGACTGCTATTATTATTAATATTATACCATCTAAGAATGTTGTTCAATCAACTACGTGACATTGACGTCATTATTATTATACAACTCATGGAATTTCCATGTGGTATTACCCAGGCAATTGGCTCTTTTAGATCTTATGAACATGGACTTTGTCTTGTGAAAAAGGTTACAATTCTCCTTATTGTCTACATGCACTATTAACCTTCTAAAACTGTATCAAATACATGCGGTATGATTGAAAACGTGGCGCTTCCGTGTTTGGTTGTGTGTTATTTGGTTAGATCAGGGAGGTGATAGGAAGGGGTGGAAACTCTTGTAATTTATTCAAGCGCATGCGTGAGTTCTAAAGCGTAACAATGGGATGTGTAACATTCCACTTGGTTTTGAAGTCCCATGCTCCGAGCCAATCTTCCACTGCGGGGAATTTTGGAGGCCAGGCACCAGTTTCACATTTATTACAAATATTAGATTACCGACAATTTTTTAATTAAATTATGAACTTTATATGGGGATTGTATTGGGAATAGTGCATCAAACAATTTTTCACATTTAGTACTCCATCCTTCATATAATGTGTGTGCCAGAGTTGGTAAAAGAAAAACTAGATCCTGACAAAAACTCAATATCTGAGGATAATGTGCTTATTTTCGCATGTTTCAATGTCCCGTCATTTAATCCATGATTTACAATCTTCGATAATTTTAAGTTTGCTAATCCGTGTTTTTTCTTTTTGGGGGTGGTATTTTTGCAGTTTGATAAATAGGACGAAATTACACAAGTTTTGTTCGCTTTTTCTTCTCATTACACATTCAACAATTGATGAGAAATCATCGAAAGGGACAGCGAACATTTGCTGGGATACCATTTTCTGATGGAATTATAAATCCTGATATTGCATGCGCTCTTTTTTCTAACCACCTGGTAAACACTTTTCGGCGGCTTGGAGCGTGGGGTCAAAGGAGAATGGCTTGATTCCACTCCTTCCGGTCCTATCACCTCCCTAGTTAGATAGTTAGTTTGATTTTACTTAAATTTGCTTGTTCCGTCTCATTTCATTTTATATTGATCATTTGGGGATGAGCAATTGAAATCAATGACTGAGGTTATAATAATTACGATATAAAGCACAGGAAACGCACCGTTAAATGCTTTACAAATGTGACTGCTATTAATATTATACCATTTCAGAATGTTGTTCAATCAACTACGTGACATTGACGTTATTTTTTTAATTCTTTTATTGAAATTATGGAATTTCCACTTGGTATTCCCCAGCAATTGGCTCTTTTAGATCTGTTTATATTGAACAGATGTAACTATTTGATAACGGATAGGGTGGGAGGTAACTGATACAACTAAATGATAAATTTTAGTATATCACATTGTATGCCAGTTGAAAGAAAATCATAAAGATCAGGATAAACAGAAACGGATGAAAAACGCTTCTTTCTTTGTGCCTGTATAACAATGGATGCAGATATCCTGCGATAACACCGCATCGTCTCTGATTACAGAAAAAAGGTTGACCTTTTCACTACAAAGTAAGTAGTAGAGAAATATTGCTTCTCTATATTGCTACTATTGTTCTAGTTTTGGCGTTGAGAGCAGTGGTTGCAAGAAAACACTCTACTTTCCGCGCTTGCGTACATCCACTGAGTAGCCTACTTTTCCGGTCTTCAAGTAACTCATAGAACTTGAATGATTTCGATGATGATTTCATGGTTTTTAACATATTGAGATAATTATATACACAAATATAAGGCGTAAGAAGTCTGATATTTCAGACAGCATGATATACATCGAACATAAATAATACTTGAGAATTCTCTTGAGCACTGACGAAAATCAAGGCATAGCGTCTGAAAAGGTAAACTATCATCTCATTCATCACTTCCAAACAATTGTATCCGGGGAATCCCCTAGTCCAGATTCGGTCCGTTTGTATGGATTTGTTATTTTTCAATATTTGACTAGTTTGTATTGATCCAATAACATTTTTGCATTCAACATAAACATAATACAAATATACAAACATTTATATCCATGGAACATCAGTAAATCAAAGAAGAAATCAAATGGATCTATAGTATACAAAATAGAAAACATCAGCGATCGTCACAATTCCCCCTCCCTAGAATAAAAAAGGATTTCCGTCAGTGTTCTAATCATGTGCTAAACTGATGCTTAAATAACATTATTTTCTAAAATTCCATTTTATTATTTTCTAAAATAAACATTTGTTATTCTTCAATCATCTATGTCCTCCTCCTTTTCACGAGTGGGCACACAGCGCACGCACTGTCTCCGATCATCAGCGACCGCCCCCCCCCCCCCCCAAAAAAAGGAGGAACTGTCTATGAGAGGCAAGGTCTGTATCCGGTTCAGCGTTGAGGGTGTGTTCTAGGCTGAATGGGTGCTCGACACAAAAAACAGTCCAGGCTGAGGACTAGCTAGGATTCCCCACTTGACGAAACGAGCCACAGCTAGAGCTATAAATATGGCTTCGGTGCGTTCCAACTTTTCATTCCAACTGTGGAACTTTGAGAAGAAAGTAATATGGCAGAGAGAAACGAATTACCCGGCGAATTATCTGGTCGCATTGTGAAAATCACCAAAAATTATGCGAATATTTCGATATCAGGTCAGCCTGGGAATGCTCGCCTCGCTACGTCTTCTACTGTACATATCATGGGTTCGTACATTGCCGATCTCCGTGTCATTCTGGAAATCGATGATTGGCTTAAGATTCGGGTTATTCCAATGAATAAGGAGATCCTGTCAAAGGTTCCTCAAGAATATCGTAAGACGGTGAAGAAATATTGTCAATGGGAAGTGACATTTTTCAGGAGAGACATCGAACCAGCGCCGCAAGTAAGTCCGTTCAACGTTCCCGAGAGGTATTTTTCAGACACCGACATCTTCAGTGGTGTGCCACATGAGGCAGTCGGCCGGATCATCTCGGCGCTACTGCATATCACACACAGGCTTAATAACATAAGCCTACAAAAGCTGCTTCCTCTCGTAAAATCACATTTCAAAGTCAAGAAAATCCCTAAGATCGGCAGTTATTTAGCGACAGAAGAAGATCTGGAAAAATTCATCGTCAACTCCCCTCAATATTTCACGATTTCATCAAGAGTCGTGAAGCGCTGTTGCGGGTTCAGCGATGACGTTTTCAATTCAGCTATTACCCAGAAAGCCCTTGGGATACAATTTCCTAGCACTACAGGGACAAGAAGGCAGACTGCTGCTGCATCTTCTGCTGGCGATCCTGTTGATTTCCAAGGTAACTGGTAATTTGTGTTTATTGTTTCTACAATAGGAATATTTATCTTTATACAAAAGCCCGGTGCTTTATTTCTATATCTTTAATAAGTTTATAAAACGTAATAACATGCTGATTTATTTATCATAAGCTGTAAACGTTCATATTATTACACGTATCATTATGATATCAATCTTTCTTTCTTCTTTTTCTTTCTGTTGGTATGGATTTTGTTCGCTTCATATCTCACGAATGGCATTGTCAATAACAATACAATTTTCACAACATGTGCCATATGCATGATTATTGATCCTAACGAAGTAATTTTTTGTATTAATGACTAATGCGCGACGTCATCTAGGCGCCATTTTGTTAATGTCCTTTATGTCCATATTCCTATCATACATTGTCAATTCTTAATGATAATTGCTGTGCAAAAACTTGACGTCATTGTATTATGTTGGTTACACCCTACACCCATGTCCGTCCATGCGTCCTGGCGGACGCGTATGCGTGAGTCAAACTTTATTTTGTCAAAATGCTTATTGGACCCATTTACCACACGTTTCAGACCTTTTTTTAACATTCAAAACATTTCAGCACGCGGACGAAAGCGCTCGCACTTTTGCGTGTGCCGTCCGCACTGAATATATTAATTCATTATATGTTGCTGATACTATTTTAGCAATTTTAAATCCTTTTAGGCCATTTTTAACCTACATTTAGCTCATAGACGTTCGTAAAACCTTAACATTGATGCACGCGCGCATATGCAAAAATTACTAAAAGTGGTCAAAAAATAAGCATCTATTTGAATCCGCTATAACTCTTCAGAATGGCTAGGGACCCCCTAATTTAACGTTCATCTTCTGATAAGGTATGAATTGGAGATGCGATTGCATTTATCACGCTTTCAGAAAAGAATACTTTGATGAAAAACGAAAACAATTGAATTGAATTTGATTAGGTAATATTTGCCGTTGTTGTTTTTAATATATCTCGTCTATCCCTATTTTGATGTCTCCGATATTTTGTTTTGTTGTAGCTGACACTTAATACAAATATACAGCGATTCAATTTTTGATCAGAAGACGGGATCGTGGTCAAAATTCCAATTTAAGGTGAAAACTGCACAATCTGCCATTATGGCTTCTACTTGTACGTGTTACATGAATGTAGGCTGAGATTTTTATCAAAGTCCTTTTACTTGTTATTCGTATCACCTACCCACCCAACTTGCAGTCTAGCCTTTCGGTCTTATGGTCAGTTTCGGTGAATGCCTCTTGGTTCTTTACTCCATCGATACTCTACCTCTCGTACGATTCTCATCTGCATATTTTCTCCTTAAGATTCTTGACCGTCAACATCGCTTTTCTTGCTGCTCTGTACGATCCGACATATTTGTATAATAAATAATAAGTACTTTATCTTTATGAACGACGTGTTATTTTGTTGCTTGTTCATAGGCACTTTAAATGAGTTAAGGGTAGAATTTATGTCTCGATCAAACCGGCAGATCACCTAATTCGTCTCCGTGACAAATTCAATGTCAAGTTCTGCCTAGTTTTCTATATATTTAAGTAATTGATATAATTTCTTATCAATCAATATAATTTTTTCATAAAATATATTTTTTTGAGCGATAATAGATTGCTATTTTTTGAGAGATCATAGTTTGTGATGTCTATATTGAAGGCCCGATATTAGCTGGCTAATTTTCAAGACATTAATAGAGATTATGAACTAAAATTGCATTCATCTTATTCAATGAAAACGACTACAGTTGCTATTAGGTTTTTATTCTCCGACGTGCATTTAGGCATAACGAGTCTGTTACCCCATCTCCACCAAAAAGAGACATCAATTATAGCATGAATAAAGTTCACATTTTATGGCAGCAGTTCATTCAAATCTTCCGAACACCCACAAACATGATTTGTCACATAAGGCTTTGTCATTATTACAAAAATAGCCGTCAGCGTGCGATGATGAATTACAAAGACCTCTAGCTCTCTATTCAATACGCTGGAACATAATCATAACAATGGGTATTGCCAAATAATGTTATCTCTCTTAAGAGATCAATACCATAACTAAACTAATGTCGCAAGACAGGGAAAAATGTACGTGCCTGCATGTTTGTCAGTATATGATTTGTTATTGGATTGGAGTGACATCATCCCTAAAAGAGGAATGAGTTCAATGAGGTAATTTGATGCTTAATTTATCAGGGGGTGGGGGATCATTAGGATATACCTTTCTAATGATTGGCCCTCTCCTGTATGATGATGAGATTTCACGTTTAATTTTTGTCTTGGCTTTTCCTATCGATTTCACTTTTATATATTTCTACTACTAATTTTATAGTTAGTGTTCATGCAAAACTTATAATTTCATTCCCTGTAGATGTGGTCAGTCAAACCAAGATCATCGATTCGTTGGAAGACTGTAAACGAATTCTTGATCCGATCCTTGACCAGTCTAGAAGAGAGACTGTGGTCATCGGACTCGATTGTGAAGGTGTAAAGCTAGGTAAGAGTATTGATGCAGGTCCTAATTCGGGATATTTTGAGAAAGAGAAGTTTGACTTGGACAAAAGTTGCTCGTTAAACACACTGCGCATCATTTTATTGCCGTAGCGCTGAGTCAGCGACTGGCTTGGTCTTTGACAGTGATAGTGATATTGTAAAAAAAGTGAATGCTATCTGATCGCAATCATTGCTTTGAGCAATATGGTTAGAGGGCAGATCGACCTTAAGAGCAAACAACTCTTAAATTGATAAAAGAAAGCCGAAAATCAGAAAGGCAGACTGGTAAAAGTGTGGACGAAATCGGATATAAAAATAAGACTGTTATGAATTGTTTAAAATTGCAATCACTTTACCAATTATGCGTAATTAACTTGTGTATTGATTTCACGATTTTGATTGGCGCAGGTAGTAACGCAATAGAAATGACTCCTTATAATATCACATGACTTGTTGTATTATAATAATGATAATGAAAACATTAATAATAATAATAATAATAATAATGATGATAATAATAGTAATTAAAGTTTGCCCAGGGAAGCATATGCAACAATGCTGTTCTTCCTGAAGGCGCTGCAATTTCAAGGTACCTCTGCAATTTTAAGGTACCTATTTACACCTGGATGGCGAATGGCAAAATGTAGATCAATATCTTGCCAAAAGACGTTAGTGCGAGGTAGGATTCGAACCCTTAACGTTAGGATTAAGAGTCAAGTGAAAAAACCTCCCTACCTCAAGCATTATACATTTATGAACCTTTGACGTTTGGAAGTTCATGAGGGTGTTTCACAAAGATCCTTAGTCGAACTTAACTCTAAGTTGGACTTTAACATTATGGAGAGCCATTTGTAGCCTTAAGATAAAATATATTCAAAAACAAAAGTTTAGACTTTTCATAAATCAACATTTGATGCCTTTTAAAATAACTTTTACAAAATATTTTTGAAAATGCTGACGGGTTTCCATTATTGTTTAAATAAGTCCAACTTAGAGTTAAGTTCGACTTCAGATCTTTGTGGAACGCTCCCCATATCTCGATATGTTGTGTGCAGGAAGAGCGAAGGGATGCCTGACTCTTGTTCAGATCTCAACGTGGGACGGGAAAGCATTCCTCTTTGACGCCTTCAAGAACCCTCAGCTTCTCAAAGGAAACTCGAGTCTCAAGAAGATACTAGAACATGACAGCATCCTGAAGGTAGACTTGTGTGACGATAAGATTAACAACTTGATTGTAATGGAATGATTTATTACTTTGAATTTATGGAAATAGCGGTCCCGCAGCAATGCCTAATTTTCAGGATGGTTATCAGTCCAAATACAGTCTTAAAAACAAGACTTTTTGCCTCAGTGGTAAAACCCTCATGATTATTCATGTATATCGTCCCACTTCCCTCTTGCCTTTAGTATATTGCACATAGACTTTATATCCTCATACAATGCGAAGTCTCTAAAATGTAGACAATTATCATATTTTCCATGGTTCAAACAGAAATCATGGATTATGCAATATCTAACATCTAGCAAAAATAAACCTGGTTAATAGTTCAATGTGAATAGTGTTAATGTTGTTTGTTAATTGATGTTGTGATACGTAACCTACATTGTACTAAACCCTTATCACCCTATTTGATGTTCCTTGCATGAAACTTAGTGTGTATCATTTATTTCAGGTGATCCATGCTTGTAAAAGTGACACATATTCTCTGTATCATGGGTTCGGTGTAAAACTCAAGAACGTGTTTGATACGTCGGTAAGCAAACATCCCTATCATATCCAATTAAAACTGTTTTCATCCATGATTTTATAATGAATTTCATTCATTCAGTCGTTCAGATGATACATTTTATTTGATAATACAACAATTTTATGATCGAAAATTTCGTAACGTGCCGTATCCACGCTGCAGCTCATTGTTATCCCATTGTGAAAATTAAAACATATTAATTTGATGTGACAGTATAGCAAAACAAGAACTGGTAAACAAATATGTATTTGTTATATTATCCTCAAGATTGCGATGTTCACAATAATGGAGCAACTGAACAGGAACCATCCCTACCAAATCGGCTACAAAGCTCTTTGTGAGCTCCTTGGAGAGGCCGCTTCTCACAAGGATGATGACTTCAAGAAGAAGATGATTGAGACGGAAGATTTCTGGGAGATTCGACCATTAACAGAAGAGATGATCTACTACGCTGCATCTGATACATTGTGTTTGGTTCCCACTGTTTACCTGAAACTCAAGGGGTACGTTAAAACATAAATTACTTGGTCACTTGGCAAACACATTGGAATTCATCATTCCCCATCTCATTTGGGACAACAACATGTGGTTTGAAATTCATGATATTTTTCCTCTTTAATAAAACATATGCTGGTTGCTATGTTCCAGGACGACGCGTGTTGATTTTCATTTCTAAACTCGAATTTTACGATTTGTTTTATAGCACTCTCTTTTATATCGATTTATTCATCATTACTATTACATTGCTGCTTTATCAGTGACTTCTCATTATAACATAGCGAAATACAAACAAACATTTTTCTTTTGAAAAAAATTGCACACGACAGGAGTAGAACAATAAATTGTATGTTTTCATTTAGTAGAAACAACCAATATTATGACGTCTTCAGTGCTACAACTATCGCTGAAGGTGAATTTGTTCGTGGGTAGATATATGATGTGGTAATCCTAGTGGATTTCTGTCCTAGGAGAATTTTCGTGAGATCAATGTGTGAGAGCTTTCAGTTATCAGACACATATTACATAATATAACATAATCTTTATGAAAAAAAAAACGAATCGCCAGATAATCTATACTTCAGTTGCTGAGACAGTGATTTATACAGTGAAACCTGTCTATTAAGGCTAGTCAAGGGAAACACATAACGTGACCACTGTAGAGAGGTATTTCTAGATACTTTCTTTAACACACATTTCCTTACAATAAGGGGGGGGGGGGCTTTAGGGAGAGGTGGCAACTAAGAAATACGTTACTGTATTTGCATTGTACTGACTTTGCAGAATGCTGACACGGGTTTGGCGAGACCTGTTTACGTGGTCTTGCAAAAACGCCATGGAAAGAAAACAAAGAGGTAAACCGAGGTACCAGATGACATCAGGAACCAAACCAAACCCTAACAAAGGCCATCGTGAAGGTCCCTCTCTTCAAAACCTGAGAATTAGCAACGGAGACGACATCGACGACAGCCACTCCATCGACGACAGTCCCCACAGCGACTACAGCGACTGTAGCTACTAGTGTGACGTTTTTGAAAAATTCCAAGCATTTGATAGAAGCCTGGTTTTGACCTACAACATTCTTAAATGTTGGATGAAATCACTAGACATCAATGTTTTGAGCAATGTACGTGAAAATAGGCTTCTGTGGTAGTCGCAGAGATGCATTATTATAGCTGAATAATTTGTCTGAATATGTGGAGACGTGCTGTTATACATGTTTTGTTTTGTGAATCCTTATTAGCCAAACAATGAATGAATGATTATATTGGATAATGTGTATTGCTTAGACTGTAATATAGTTCCCTTTAACAGCAAGTTTCATCTGTATAATTGTAACCAGATAATGTTTTGCCTAATGATAATTGTATATTAAGATTTTGATAAAATGGGAGAAACTTTCCTCATAGTAATAAAATACGAACCATGTATGTGACGCTGTGGTATATATACTGGTAGTGTAATTTTCCTAAGTATGTATCGTTAACAAATTGTAGTGTATATAGTTTTCGTATTCTTATCTATCCATGCAACACTATGCTGCATGTTAATGCCATTTTTTGGCTCCATAAAATATGTGAATTTCAAAATGAAATAATTAAAGCTTATATTGACGTATCTATCGATAAATGTATTTTGTTTTTTTCATAATAATAGCTTTAGTTATCTTGAGAATTTGTTCGTATTCTTGCCCATTAATCTACCAGATTTCCCACCAAAGTGTATGGAGTATTAAAAGCAAGATATTCTTTAATAGCATGATTTACAGTGTCTCAGCACGACACAGGCATCGTCATTTTCTTGATAACGTTGTGTACTATATGCGAAGTCGCTTGTCAAGTTAATATATTCTAATGTATGGCTGTTTCCTTCCCAAGTGTGTATGATGATGAAGCATTTCATTCACCTGCTATTATCTCGGGTACTATAATTGTCAGAACGCATTTCACATTACGAATACAAACATGAAATAAGGATTTTTATAACGTCGTTTAAAATAATTAAGTGATGGGCAGATTTTTGCTTCAGGAGGGAGATTGTTCCGCGGAGAGGGACTTTAGAAATATTGAGCTATGGGAAATAGAAGCTCTAATACCTTAGGTAAATGATAATTGTATGAATTTTGAGTATTATCTATATATTGTGTTGATGTATTGTTGAATTAAGTAAAAACCTTAGGCATGACCAACTGGAGTATAATACGTTTAAAACACACCAATACAAATGCAATACTAAATCTATTTATATCATACACGTTGTGTAATCGTAAGTTATAAAAAAGTGGCAAAGTGGGGGCATTTAAAGAAGCATTAAAAGTTATCTTCATTTTTTTTTCTGAAGTAATGACAACGTGTTGAAAACGTAATCGGACGATTTGGACCAAACATTATTACAATAATTTGTATGAGAAACAACCAAAGCATGATATGATAATATAAAAAATATATTGCGGTATTTAAACAAAAATCCATAATCTAGAAAAGGCTGCTCCCAAGTCATGCTAAAAGGCATTACGTCATTCCGAGAATATCTTCATTTATAGACAGCCAAATGTAATGTTTAAAGTGTAATTTATTCTGTATGTATTATCTATTCTTTACGCATGTAAATTAGGAAAAAAGTAAATATCCTTTTGTCATTTAGTAGCATTTACAAACAATAAATTGGTTGAAAGTCGGAACTATAGAGCTTAAAAACATTCAGGTCTTGTTTTTATTGATATCGTAGTAGTTTGTAAGAAATGAGTTAGATATAAAGGTAGCATTGGGAATTTTTGAGATTAATTATCATAATTATGTATAGTTACCTGCAGATATAAACAAAATGTTTAAAAAGACAAATAAAAGACAAAAAATATGTTGAAATGCTCATTTCGTATCATTTTATTAAAAAAATTGGCATAAACCTACATTGCATTTACAGGGCTAATGTCCAGTTGGTGTGAATTGAATTAATTAATTACAATACAAGATACTTTAAAGCTATTCCCGTTCCTAGATTTGAAATACTGAGACATTAATCAACTAATTGTAAAAGAATATGTTAATATAATTGTCCTATTGCCAACAAAACATATATGTCTTGTCCATTGGTTAATAAAGATTGCATATTTTCTCATTTGTTGTATTGCAGCATGGAGACAATGGATGTATTTCTGAAATTCCATGCCTAAATAAAAGCACATAGGCCTACATTAAAAATACAATACATATAGAAGAACGAATAAACATGAAAATAGTGATATAAATTATATATTACATAAAGACACGATAAAAAGAAGAACAAATTATATAAGTAACAATACAAACGAAGTGGTTCATAAAGAGATGAAATATGCTGATGAAGAAAAAGAAACATGTATGGTTGGCTTTTAGGAAGAGATAAGACAGTGGAAGAGGGAATAATCGAGAGGAGGGGAGGAGGAAAGGAGAATAGAAGATGAAGGAGCCGAGTTATTACATGGCAAACTGTAATATTAATTATAATATTTAAACAAGCAGTGTTTATATTAACTTTCTCAATATATATGTACAATTAGCAACTAATCAATCATACCCTTACGAAATTTTGTAATGTTTTAACATCTCCTTTTACATCTCCTTGATTAAAGCTTACATCCAAAAGTATTCAAAAATGGCCCTAATTCAACCAGTCCAACTTTCATTATTGAGTTTAATACGAAAAAAAAAAAAAAACATCAAAGTTCCAAGGAGACTGAGGAGTATAAATAATTTGATTTTTAACTGTATGTCCATTTTTATCATTTGGGTTATGTTTTTATACAACCTCTGTTTGAAACAAATATATTCCAGCATCAATAACTAAGAAATTGACAAGTAATGAAATTTTCTGTAAAGAGCACATTGGAGAAGAGCTCGCAAGATACGTCACAGTGTTGTGTTTAATTGATCACACCTTCAAGACTTCATAACTTTATTATTTTTAATCGGTTTTTGCTCAAACCTTCGCTGACCTGTTTCTTTCATTTCCTGCTTTTAATAAGTAGTAGACTTCCGTTTTAACAGCTCCATGATTGGAAGGAAGAGTGTATAATATTATTTTTCAATATTGGCCTCATTTTTTATTTTTCTAAATTGATGAGTACTTCCTGTTCCTTTTGTTATAAATTTAATCTGGCTTGTTTTTTTCACCCATCCGTCTGACCATAGTGGGTTTTTGCATTTGGTTTTCCCCACCTGTCGTTCGTTTGTGACTGCCATATATCAAATTTAATGGTATAAAGATTGTCAAAATACAGTTCTATGAAAAACCAAGATGCACGAGAAAATCAACTAATGCAGGTAAACTAGCTCTGTATTTTTTGTTTAGCTTACTCATGGATGAACTATGTACTCGGGACGTGTAACTGCTCACGCGTAACATTAATAATACTATCTTTGATAGCATAATACTATAATAATTATTATGCTGCATTGAATAATAGTAAATCAAGTGGAAAGTTGTTCAAAGTTGAGGGTTTTCATAGCCTACCCATTGCAGGCACTAACGTTTATACAATGATAGTATTCACATTTGTATATCGCTTCGTACTACGTTTTCAAGAGTTTTTCATTGTAATTATTTTTTTACCCCGGTTAAGCTCACGCTCTGCTCCCTGGAGAGTATTCCGGACTGGGGTTATTTTACAAGCGCACATATGCCAATCCAATCACATTAACGTTCACATACCGGTTACCCATTAAATATCTGGGGTGATTCACTAACAGCTAAAATCGATCCCAAATGAGATTACATTGCTCTTAGGAGCGATATCGTTCCCAGTTAGTGAATAACCCTCTGGGTGGAGAGTGGGAAATGTACATTTCAAAGAACCAAAGGACAATTGTGCCGAGTCTGGATCCGAACCGCGAACCACGGGATCCACGGCTTTTACCTAACTTAATATCCTCATCGTCTTTTTTTTTAAATTCGTCCTTAATTTACAAGTAACTACAAGCAAATGGTGTAACAATTTTCTTATCTAGATTGTAAATGCCTATGTGTTTTTTGTTATTGTTATACTTTTTTGTACGAAATTATACCAATCTGAAACTGAACCCGGAACTGGAGATTGAAAAAAAAAAGGTGAAGTCGGTAAGGCGAGGAAAGAATGAAAATAATGAAAAGGGGGCTGGGGGGGGGGGGGGGTAGGTCAAATGAAGGACATGATACCTTTACTGCGTCACGGTATTACCATCAAATAATTAATTGATTCATGATTGTCTATTATACCTCATCATACATATACAAACTTTCAACATGTATGGTCACATAAAATCATACATATTATGGGTCGTCTAGCACAGCTGAAGCAGATGTCTTCATCATAAATAAACTGTTCATACAATGAATAAACATGTATATATGTAAACAATGTAAACAATGTAAAAAGAAAAGCGAAAGGCCAACAATAGATACAAAGAAGAGAGAGATAGAGGGAGATAAAGATCGAAAGACGGAGAGAAAGAAAGAGAGAGGATGGGGTGGGGAGGATTTTCATCCAGATAGAATCAGATGCAACATTTAACCCGTTGACTACTGAATTCTCTAGTTCCCATAGGCTTAATACAGCGACCACCCGGTTCCAGTTGGCAATGGGTTAAGGTCTGTACATAGAAACCACTTACCTTAACATATCTCCTGAAACGTATGATTCTCATTTGTATAAGGTACAAGGATACATGCAACAAATTAACAGCTTTTTATGCGTAGGTACATGACCATTTCCGTGCATAAATACATAGAGAAATTACTAATATAAATTGTTTTGTAGTAAATAACAAATAAGCTTTCGCTATTGTGGGAAATATATTAAAAATGAATATGATATCGATATAATAAAATAATTGAAATATCCCCCCCCCCCCCCCTCCACAGGACCTTTGTTTTCAAAACAAATTCTATCATATACATTATATTCATAAATTATATATAAATAATGAAAGAAATAATTTTCATACACTTTAGAGGGGGTTATTAACAAAGTATCCATCATATATAATATTTCATTTAAAATCCTGATTTGAAACCATCCCGTTTTGATATTTATTGTTGACTGAAATGGAATCAGACAGTACGAACCCCAAAGTACATCTATAATATAATACTACTACTACTACTAATAATAATAATAGTGGGTTCTTGTATAGCGCTCATGTTTGTCAGATGTGACACTCCTGGCGCTCCGATTATTAACCTGGCTTTATCACGGCTGTCAGTACGGCGCTCTAGCATTTCAAGGAATTGATTCCTACCAGGTACCCAGTTACAACAAACTTTCCTCTTTGTGAGAGCTTTACATTCTTTTACTTTGTATTTTAGAAAAGATTGATACAAATTTTGTTTTTCACCACAACGTGCAGGGCTTTGGGAATGGTAGGTTCTATGGCCTTAAGAACATGTGCACTCATTTTAAAACCTGACCGAATTGCAGAACAAAGACCATAGTACTGGATGAAGTTTGTTTGTATGTCAAACCTACGTTGAAGTCCTTAATATGAAAGAAAGGAACCATTTTGTTAAGGATGTCGTTCACAAAACGTATTCCTCGTAACTTCCAAGGCCTAATACAAACCACTTTGTCATTCATTTTAATTCAGGGGTTATTCGAGAGAGGTTGACATGCAATGTAATCAATGAGAAGTTCGAACAAGCCTGAAAAACCGAAAAGG